GGTATTTTGTGGAAGAGCAACACTCAAGGGGCCAAAGAGCCGCATGTGGCTCGCGAGCTGCAGTTTGCCGACCACTGGGCTAGGGCCACATCCTAATCTTAAGTACAGAAACATTAGGGTTGCTGCATGTGTTCTATCATTATCTAAGCTTTTTAAAACATGTATTTTTACATGCTAAGATGAATCCAGTTCTACATGCTGCATGACAAACTGGAAAGCATCCAAGGGGGCCTCCTATGTGTGAAATTCCACTCCCAGGGACTGGGAGGTGGAGCATCGTTATGGTCATGAGCCACCTGTTTTCCCCCAAAGTCAGACTGAGCCTAAACTTTTCCCAGGACCTCAAGGGCGTTTTAGGATGGGGAATTTTAAGGCAAACAAGAGGGAGGGATAAGGGAATAAGAGAGCCAGGTCCCCAAATCCTTGCTCAGGAGCCAGACCACCTCCTTCCCAAGGGACAGAAGCCTTTCCCTCCTCTAGAGAGCTGACCTTCCTACCCCCCATCAGATCTTCTTCCTCATTCTTCTTCTAGGAGGAACTCAAGCCAGAAGGACTCGTGAATCTGACTTGGATCCCAACCACCCACAGCCTCTGAAAATAAAGATATTGGTTGCCGTACCTCACTTTTAAACTGAACCTGATAATTACGGATCCAGGGCCAATTTGCTCCAGTCCTGCAATCCCCCTCTCTTCAGGGTTGCTTCCTGAGTCCGTAGGGACAGGACACACATGCAGTGGTTTCCTAGGGAATGTTCTATTTGAAGATTTGGGGGAAATTATTTAAAAGGTTTATTTCTATATTAAGACAAACATGGATGTTTTATGGAATGGAAAACTCTTATGATCATTCATTAAAATAGGAGATTTGAAGAAATTTGCAGAGCCCTTATAAATTACATCCCCATGTTCCAAGGGTACATGTTTTACTTCCCTGATACTGTTTTTGAAAACTTCACTGAAAATTTAGAAAAGTATTTTGCTAGATGGAAGAACTCACACCATAGATGAGGTTACTTATGGGGAAAGGGAGAAAAATGAAGGGGGGATTTCAAGGTTTGCACTAAACAGTTTTAAATCTTTCCCCTCTGTAACAAGAAACAAAAGACAAAAAGAAAAACCTAATAAAAATTAAATACATGTGGTTAAAATACCAGAGTGCTGCTGAGTGATGGGTGGCCTACAGAGTCAGAGTAGCACCTTCTGGGACCCCCACGCATGAGTCTAAGGGAAAGTGGGTATTTACCCAGGATGAGCTCACTCAGG